AATATTGGTCCCCACTCTCTTCTGGCTGTAGGGTTTCTGCCAAGAGATCTGCTGTGAGTCTGATGGGCTTCCCTTTGTGGGTAACCTGACCTTTCTCTCTTTCTGCCTTTAGCAATTTTTCCTTCATTTCAACTCTGGTGAACCTGATGATTATGTGCCTTGGGGTTGCTCTTCTTGAAGAGTATCTTCTTGAGGACTATCTTTGCAGTGTTTTCTGTATTTCCTGAATTTGAATGTTGGCCAGTCTTCCTAGGTTGGGGAAGTTCTCCTGGATGATATACTGAAGAGTTTTCCAACTTGGTTTCATTCTCCCCATCACATTCAGGTACACCAATAATCTAGATTTGGTCTTTTTACATAATCCCATATTTCTTGGAGGCTTTGTTCATTTCTTTTCATTCTTTTTTTCTTTAATCTTGTCTTCTCACTTTATTTCATTGAATTGATCTTAAATCTCTGATATCCTTTCTTCTGCTTGATCGATTCAGCTATTGAAACTTGTTTATGCTTCACAAAGTTATTGTGCTGTGTTTTCCAGCTCCATCAAGTAGTTTATGTCACTCTGGTTAGCATTTCATCTAACATTTTTTCAAGGTTCTTAGTTTCCTTGCACTGGGTTAGAATACGCTCCTTTAGCTCAGTGAAGTTTGCTATTACCCACCTTCTGAAGCCTGCTTCTGTCAATTTGTCAAACTCATTCTCCATCCAGTTTTTTTTTTCCTTGCTGGTGAGCAGTTGTGATCCCTTGGAGGAGAACAAGTGTTCTTTTCTGATTTTTGGCAATCTCAGCCTTTTTTCACTGATTCCCTACTTAATAAATGATGTTGGAAAAACTCACTAGCCATATGCAAAAAGCTGAAACTGGATCCTTTCCTTGTACCTTATACAAAAATTAACTCTATTAAAAAAATTAACTCCAGATGGATTAAAGATTTAAACATGAGACCTAATACCATAAAAACCCTAGAAGAAAACCTAGACAATACCATTCAGGACATAGGCATCGGCATGTTCTTTACGACTAAAATACCAAAAGCAATGGCAACAAAAGTAAAAATAGACAAATGGGATCTAATTAAACTTAAGAGCTTCTGCACAGAAAAAGAAATTAACATTAGAGTGAACCAGCAACCAACAGAAAGGGAAAAAATTTTTGTAATCTACCCATCTGACAAAGGGCTAATATCTAGAATCTACAAAGAACTTGAACAAATTTACAAGAAAATAACAAACAAACCCAACCGAAGGTGGGTGAGGGATATGAACAGACACTTTTCAAAAGAAGACATTTATGCAGCCAACAAACATATGAAAAAATGCTCATCATCATTGGTCATCAGAGAAATGCAAATTAAAACCACATTGAGATACCATCTCATGCCAGTTAGAATGGTAATCATTAAAAAATCAGGAGACAACAGATACTGGAGAGGATGTGGAGAAATAGGAATGCCTTTACACTGTTGGTAGGAGTGTAAATTAGTTCAAACATTGTAGAAGACAGTGTGACAATAACTCAAGGACTAGAAACAGAAATTTCATTTGACCCAGCAATTCCATTATTGGGTATATACCAAAAGGATTACAAATCATTCTATTATAAAGAGAAATGCAAATGTATGTTCATTGTGGCACTGTTTACAGTAGCAAAGACTTGGAACCAACCCAAAATGCCCAGCAATATAGACTGGATTAAGAAAATGTGGCACATATACACCATAGAATACTATGCAGCCATACAAAGGATGAGTTCATGTCCTTTGCATGGATGTGGATGAATCTGGAAACCATCATTCTCAGCAAACTGACACAAGAACAAAAAACCAAACACCGCATGTTCTCACTCATAAGTGGGTGATGAACAATGAGAACACATGGACACAGGGAGGGGAACATCGCACACCAAGGCCTGTCAGAGGGTGGGGGAACTAGGAGAAGGATAGCACGGGGTGGGGGGATTGGGGAGGGCTAACGTTAGGAGAAAAACCTAATGTAGATGACAGGGGGATGGATGCAGCAAACCACAATGGCATGTGTATATCTGTGTAACATACCCTCACGTTCTGCATATGTACCCCAGAACTTAAAATGTAATAAAAAATTAATAATTCATTATTTTTAGTACTACATTTGTAACATTCTTGACTATCTGACTACTGTAGTCTTACTGCATTTACTTGCCTTCATCTCTGTGTATCTAATAACTATACTTATGAGAAATCTTTAAAAATATAAAAATTGTTTTTCTGCTACTATTATTATAGTATTTTAAGATGGAGTCTCTTTCTGTTGCCCAGGCTGGAGGGCAGTGGTACAATCTCAGGTCACTGCAGCCTCTGCTTCCTGGGTTCAAGTAATTCTTCTGCCTCAGCCTCCCAAGTAGCTGGGATTGCAGAGATGCACCACCACGCCTGATGAATTCTTTTATTTTGGATAGAGAAAGGGCCATCATGTGGGCCAGCTGGTTTCAAACTCCTGACCTCAAGTGATCCACCTGCCTTGGAATCCCAAAGTGCTGGGATTACAGGCGTGAGCCACCATGTCCAGCCTCTGCTATTATATTTTTAACCTAAGTATCTTCTCTAGAATTCACAAAAGCTCTCCAGAGTTTTTTCATGGATATTTTCATTTCTTTGTTTCTCAGAGTATAGATAATTGGATTCAAGATAGGAGTGATGATGGTGTAAAATACAGCAAGGAACTTATCGACAGAGTGGTTGCTGAAGGGCCAGATATAGATGAAGATGCATGGGCCAAAGAAGAGAATTACCACTGTGATGTGAGCAGTCAAAGTGGAACGCGCTTTAGATTGCCCAGTAGGAGAGTGATTCTTAATGGTTATGAGGATCAGACTATAGGAGATAAGCAAAATAATAAAACAGCTCAGGGAGATTATGCCACTGTTGGCAACGATGACTATTTGTACAATGTATGTGTCTATACAGGCAAGCTTAGTAACCAAAGGGAGGTCACAAAAAATGCTATCTACCACATTTGGACCACAAAAAGGCAAGCTTACAACAAATGGTATCTGAAGCCCTGAGTGAAGGAGACCCAGAAGCCATGAGGTCACTACAAGCAAAACACATACCTTCTTGTTCATGATGGTCATGTAGTGTAGGGGCTTACAAATGGCCACATATCTGTCAAAAGCCATGGAGACCAACAGTACCATTTCAACACCACCCAGTAAGTGAAGGAGAAATATCTGAGTGAAGCACCCAGCCAAAGAAATCATCTTCTGCTTTTTTACAAAGTTCAGAATCATCTTAGGGGTGGCAAAGGAAGCAAGGGTCATATCTACAAAGGAGAGATTCCCAAGGAGAAAATACATGGGAATATTCAGGTTAGGGGTATAAAACACTGTGAGTATAATAAGAAGGTTACCCAAAACTGTGACCACGTAGATGACTGAGAAGAGGGCAAAGAGAAGAAACTCTATACTCTGGGAGCTGGTCAGTCCCAGCAAAATGAACTCTGACACTTGAGATTGATTTAATAGTTTCATGGACTTCATCATATAGGTTGCTTTTAGATGACCTGCAGAGAAAAAAGAAAGATCACTCATACCATAGAGTATGAGTGAATAATAAAGAGTCATATGAAAAGCCAAACTTATTCATTCCTTTGGATCTTTCAGAAAACTTCTTTGACCTTGAAATTTAGTGTCAGTATCTATTTAAAGTCTAAAAAAGGAGACATATAGTCTAAGCTGTACACTTCCATACAAGAGCAATAATCTATTGATGTCACTGGTTTCCCTGAAGCAAACCACAAGCTCTGAAGCATATAAGTGTTACCTTCACAGGTCAAAAGAGATAGAACCATCTACAGGAAACTTGTGGTTTTGTGGATTGAAAGATGGTTTAGTCTGAATTACCTAGAGAACAAAGGGTTTCAGCACAACCTCTACTCTTTCAAACTAAAAATTTTAAATTTGAGTTAATATTGGAGTTGCTATCTTCCCATAACGATTTTAAGAAATTCTGTTTTAATTCTGAACCATCCCCAGAGTTTTGAAGGGACTGTGACCCAGCAGATTTAAAGCTGCTCTAGATAAGTGAGTTAGTGAGGTTTCAGGTGATGCATGCTGCTGTGTTTTTCCTCCTTACCTTCCACCAACCCATAAGTGGGTCCTGGTCTTGTAACTCTCTTAGGAAGTCTTTTTGGCAAATATTATTTTTTTCTGATGTGATTGTTACTACTCATGGTCTCCTGTGGCTGAAACCCATATTTACAAATAATTTCTATAAGGTCATTAAAATGCAAGGAGGCTGAGATTAAGCAACATGGATTAATACTCTGCGTCTATGTGGCCTTGTTACATTCTAACAAGAGACACATGTAGAGGAAGCAAGAAAAACACTGTCAGCAAAAGTGACATTGCTTGTTACATCTAACGTCTTGATTCTTGCTTTCAGTTCACATATCGCATCCCCTATATTTATAAAATTGTATACTTTGAGCAAACCAGGTTTAACAATTTATATATGAGCCATAGTCTTCACTAGACTGCCATTCATATTTATTTACAGAACACTGATCTGGTGATGAGTGGCAACAGCCCCCATACTGGAGCCTTCAGGCTGGGGATATGACTGTAACTACTATATGGCTAAAACTAGTAGAACATTATGTTCGAATCTGGAAAATACAATGTGCGTGTGCGTGTGTGTGTGTGTGTGTGTGTGTGACTGAGAGAGAGAGAGAGAGAGAGTGAGTGGCAGATGATGCAAAAAATTCCAATTAAGAAGCAGAATAACCACACAAAAAAAGAGAGGTCATATTGAAAGTCATGTATTCTGTGCTTCTATGAGTTAAGATGTGAGAAGAATCAGCAGGCTATTTGGAAAGAACATTCAAATGAATATGACACACTGGGACTGAGAACCACCTATGTCTCCAACAGCTGCATTATCTTTCTCTCTGGGTCTCAGTTTCATGATTGGTATAACAAGGTGGTTGAGTTCAAACCCTGAGTTCATTCTCAGGCCCAATACTTCATAGACCTGTTATTAATGCACCTATTATTATCTTTAATGAATCTATTATTCTATTCCCATTTCGGGGTTTTATTACTTGTTAGCTAACTTGATTTTAACTTTGAATCAACTCAAATATAAATATGAGATACAGCTGTATGACAAACAGTTATCTCAAATTTGTCTGTATCTTTATTTCCTTTCTTAGTATGTTTTTAAAAATTGTGACACTGTGTTTGCTCTAGGGCCATATTACCCTGTTTTGCTCTCTAGAACTCACATCTCTTGGTCACTTTACTGTGCTAGATCTCCTCAAAATTAATATTAATATTGCTTTAATTGCTATTAATATAGTTAATATTAATTTTAAGCCCTAATATATTTATCTACTAAATATGCTTAAGGAAGTTTAAAATATATAGAACCTTTGAAATCTTTCACTACTCAGAATTTACCATAAAGTTTATGAGTGTGCTATAAAATCTTCACAGTAATAGTGTGTAGATACACAAAAGTTGAAACAGTTCAAATGTTATAAATAAATTGAGGCTTACTTTCTTAAATAGATTATAGAAAATGGTAGGATGTAATATTGCATCTTTAATGAAATAATACATGAGAAAACTAACAACATGAAAATATTTACATTGTTTTAAGAACAGTATGAACCCACTTTGTAAACATTAAGTGTTTGTATAAGCATATATGTATAAAATTTACATATTTTTAAAAATATTGGATAATGTCACAACTATTAACAAAGAGATTATTTTTGCTACGGTGGTGTGACTAGTACCAAAAGAATTATATGCTAGAAATATTCCTTTATAAGAATGCCAGGACCTGAAAACACTGGTGCTCAGATACATATTTTTAGAGTAAGAAAGTATTCAGAAGATGTCTGTAAATGAAGAAAATGAAACAGAAAAGGCAAGTTTCTTTTTTATTACTTAATTTAGTTTAGTTCTAAATTGTTATAGTCGCTCATAATTTGGGGAAGGATATGTTCCAGTCTATGCAAGGAAGTCCTGTGAGCAGTCCGTGGTTTGGCTATAGTAATTACAAGATGAGGACCTCAGACCTTCTTGTCTAAGCTTGACAGTGGCTTGTTTAAATAGATTAGTTATATAAGAGTTTCATTAACCCTATTATATTCTAACTTTTGAAATTGAAGAGTATTTATTTGTAAGTATATAAGACAACTTATAATTAGATATGATCTTTTATAACATAAAAAGATAGGCAAGATGTTATTTAAAGATAGCTGTGATTGTGATGGGTGGTGAAAGCAGTTCTCACTAACACTCAGGTGGAGTGATCCATGGGACTTAACCATTCACTCACACTCTGCCCTTAGGCAAATCACTTCAGTGAATGAATTCTTGGGAAACCAAATTAGTGTGAGATCAAGAAATTGAAATAATGGGTGGGACATTCATTTTAAGAAATTTCAGGGTAAAGAGATTGGTGTGATAACATAGTAGACAGAATAGAAACAGAATTAAGACTGATCTTGGAATGCTGAAGGTTTAAATACATTTTATATTAATATAAAATAGTCAAAAGATAGTAAAAATGCAACAAATGTCTTTTTAACAAACTATACTAGAAAAATTGGATATGCAAAACAGTGAGTAAAAAAATCAAGATCAACCTATACCTCACAACTTCTATAAAAATTAGCTCCAAAGTGGATCATAAACCTAAATGCAATACACAAAACTAAATTTCCCAGAAAAAGGACATAGGAGAAAAAACGCATGAATTTGATTTAGGCGAATACTTTTTAGACATACCTCCAAAAACATGATTCATGGAAAAACATAAAAAATTGCACATGAGATACAGAATACATCTGCATCTTTCTTTCATTTACACCATACCAAACGTGTGTGAGCGTGACATAAAGTCGCCACCTGCCTCTAACCTGGGACTACCAATATGTTAATTAAAATGTTTACAAAAAGAATATATCCTTTGTAGAATAGCCATTTGGTTATAATCATTCATAGAAACAGAAACAGAGACAGGGCCGGGCGCGGTGGCTCACGCCTGTAATCCCAGCACTTTGGGAGGCCGAGGCGGGTGGATCACGAGGTCAAGAGATCGAGACCATCCTGGTCAACATGGTGAAACCCCATCTCTAAAAATACAAAACATTAGCTGGGCACGGTGGTGCGTGCCTGTAATCCCAGCTACTCAGGAGGCTGAGGCAGGAGAATTGCCTGAACCCAGGAGGCGGAGGTTGCGGTGAGCCGAGATCACGCCATTGCACTCCAGCCTGGGTAATGTGAGTGAAACTCCGTCTCAAAAAAAAAAAAGAAACAGAGACAGAACTATGTGCTAGAACCAAGTGGCACCAACTCTGCACATTTTCAATTGTAGGATTTTACACTTGCTTACTATAGTATTTCTTTGTACTTACGAACAAATAGATATTCACAAATGGGCTTAGGAACTTACATTTAGGGATCTAGCTTATTTGAAAGTAGAGAAAATTCTCTCTCTGATATGAAAAAAACTTCTATATTATTCTCCTGTTTATATTTATATTCACAAGAGCTATACAACTGGCTTCTGTTAAATTTCTATTCACAGGCTATTAATGGAGCAACATAAAGTATAAAGGAGTTGAAGGAAAGCCATTATGATTTAGTCACTCCAAGCAGGGTTGGCTGGAAGACAATGTTGGACAATGAGAAGAGAACTGCACTCAAGGTTTTCTGTACCATCATAGTCCACTGGTCATTACTTTTTATGTTAGAGACTCTTATAAGTATGTACGTTACATCACAGATATTCACAATTAAATAATACAACTTAGACAAGTTGAGTATTTAAATTAAAACAGTGTGTCAAACGCACAGTACATCATCTAGCATATAGTTGTCAATGTATAATAAATGTTAATTATCGCTACTATTCTTACTACTAACTGGCTAAAGTTCACACAGCTAAAGTCATGGTATTCAAATTCAGGATTTCATGACACCAAATTAAGAGTCTATAACCCTAGAGTAAGGCTTAACTTTAGCCTTACCACTGTGAGTTTTTAAATAGCTATAATTGTTGATAATACAATTATTAGAATAAATAGGTAAATATGTATAAAAAAGAAAATGCTGGATGATTGAATTCATTGCACTATTCTCACACTTAGGCACTGATTCATATTTCATATTTTGTTGCTATTTAGTAGAACCATCTGCTGGCCTGAGGCAAATTCTTGAATGACCAAATTAAAACATAATCTTTTTTTGGCATGGGATTGATGTAATGCCATATTTCATTCCTCCTTATTCACAAGTTATATTCTACTCTAAAACATACTACCTTAGCTTTCGTTAAGACAAAGTGTATCGATAGCTGTGTCAAAAATAGAGTTTTAATACTAATCTGACCTTGATAGTTTACCGGATTACTATTGGACAACAATTGAGAACACTCGCATGCCTACAGCATTTTACATAATAGAAGTTTAATAATTTTCCATCAGTATTTAACAGGATTGATATTTTCAGCCATGACCTTAGAAATTTGTATACATTTGTATCTTTTTTTTGTTCATGACTAAAACATTTGTACTTTAAGTTCTAGGGTACATGTGCAGATCTTGCAG